GGATCTCGAACTTGGTAAGCTCTTGTTTTTCTTTTTAACTGTTCTTCTGTTTGCTCTTCCTAAATTTTCGAACTTGAATAGTTTCGCCTCTTCAGTTTCCATTTCAATTAAGAAGACGAATGCTTTTGCATCATTCACTGAGAAAGTCATTTGTTTTCAGACTTGCTTTTAAATTGTCATGTTTCAATGTTAAATCTTGAAATTAGTTTGATACGCATGACACACGTTCAAATTCAAGCTTGAACTTAAGAAATTCATGGTCTGAGTTTCACTCTAGTGATTCGGATCTCGCGCAGTTACAAAGCACTCTTCGGTTTATGAATACTTGAAAGATGATAATGTATTGCTTGTAAATTGTTGTATTACTCTTTTTTACTTCTAAAAAGTGTGGACTGAGTGAGTGCAGGTACTTGTAGATTGTGTTTTAAATCTTTCCACTTTCTTTATGACCCTTAGCATGGAGTGCTTGATAAAGGATGATGTAACTCAAGTAAGCCCAAATCTTTCTTAAATTTTGATCAATTGCTTCATTGGAATAAAGAAATTTCAGTTTGTTTTCTCAAGTTAATGTACTTAGTTCCATGGGATTTTCTTATGTGTGTGTTTGGATTCTCTGACAGTTGATAGGTGACACGCCAATGGTGTATCTGAACAACATTGTAGATGGTTGTGTTGCTCGTATAGCGGCTAAGCTTGAGATGATGGAGCCTTGCTCTAGTGTCAAAGAGCGGTATGTATATATTACTAAACAAAAACCCTCTCTCTATCTATCTCTCTTGTTTGCTTCAAGAAATGTTTGTTCCTTTGTGTGTGTTTTCTGAGAAATTCTCCGGTTTGTTTGACTCGCTTGCTAGAATTGCTTATGGTATGGTTAAAGATGCAGAAGACAAGGGATTGATTACTCCCGGGAAGGTAGAACGATTAACTCACGCATCCGTTTTGCTTTCTTTCTCTTTAAAATCAAACTAAAACTCTTAAATCCTTGTGGATTTTACTCAGAGTATATTGATTGAGCCAACGTCTGGTAACACCGGGATTGGTTTAGCCTTTGTCGGGGCAGCTAGAGGTTACAAAGTTGTGCTGACAATGCCTGATTCAATGAGCCTTGAGAGAAAAATCATTCTATTAGCATTAGGTGCAGAGGTTCACCTCACAGACGTGAAAAAGGGAGTTAAAGGAATCTTTGACAAAGCCGAAGAGATATTAAGCAAAACTCCAGATGGTATCATACTAAATCAATTCAAAAATCCTGCAAACCCGGAAGTATGGACTCTTACTTGACATTCTATTGCTCTTGCTCTCTTTCTATCTTTTCTTTAATTTTTTGTTAATCTGAATTGGTTTCTCTGCAGACACATTATCGAACCACGGGTCCAGAGATATGGGGAGACTCTGCAGGGGAAGTAGATATATTGGTCGCGGGTGTTGGGACTGGTGGAACGATTTCTGGAGCAGGCAAATTCCTCAAGGAGAAGAAGAAAGACTTCAAGGTATCCAATCATAGCATGAGAAACATTAGGTATGTACTCGGCATTTCGAGCATTTGTCTTCGTTTATCAACAGGTTTACGGAATGGAACCTACAGAAAGTGCGGTACTCAGTGGAGGCAAACCAGGTGAGTTTGTTTCTCTCTTGCATTTAATCTCAAATCTTGTTCTTGAGTCTAACATAAATACCCAAGTAAACAATCATTCATTCATGGAGCTAGTTGCTGTTGAATCTCTTTCTTGATGAAACTCGGATACTGGTTCCCGGGTTTGTAGGTCCACATTTGATCCAAGGTATTGGATCTGGAATCATCCCAGACAATCTGGATTTCAGTGTTCTTGATGAAGTCATTCAAGTAATGTAGCTGACATTTTATCGGTTTTGGCTTCGTAAACGTGATGAGATCTTTATGATCTCCAGTTGGTTTTTTCAGGTGACAAGCGTGGAAGCAATTGAAACAGCCAGACTTCTTGCACTGAAAGAAGGATTACTGGTACAAACAATCTCCCGGTTTAACAATTTTGTGTTGGTTTAAACCATAAAACCAACAATTCTGATAAATGTTATTGTCTGGCAGGTGGGAATATCTTCCGGAGCTGCTGCAGCCACTGCGATAAAGGTGGCGAAACGGCCAGAAAACACCGGGAAACTCATAGTTGTAAGTAAAACAGAGTTACTAAGCTATAACTTGCAAGGGCCTAATAAGCTTTTGCCATAACCGGCTTTCTTTAATCAATGTCCGGTTCACAGGTGGTTTTCCCAAGCGGTGGGGAACGTTACTTATCAACTGAATTGTTCGACTCGGTCAGACGTGAAGCGGAGAATTTGACATTTGATTAGGGCCTAGTCATATACTACCTGACTCGGTTTCGGTTTGGTGAAAAATTACCAAGATTTCTGTTTTCGATCCAATCAGGGTTGATCGATTTCTCAATTTGTTTGGTTCAGGAAAAAAATTGGATTAGTTTATTTATAAACAAATCTTTTTAATCCACTCCAAAAGTTTAGCTTTCAAAGTTTCATTTTATGATTATTACAAGACGATTTGGCTTGAGTATGATTGTGGAAGAGGAAGAAGATCAGAGGACAAGAGACTATAAACAAACACATCATAGATTGTACCTTTGAGATAAGTGTACTTCCTGAGCAAACCTTCTCTTTGAAACCCAATCTTCTCAACAAGTCTTTGGGATGCTTTGTTTTGAGTTCGAACAAAAGCTTGAAGCCTCAAAACATGAGGCAAGTCATTGAACACTTGTGATACTGCAATTGACACTGCTCTTGTTGTTATTCCCTTTCCCCAATACTCGTGAGATAATCCATACCCAATATGCGCTTTGAATCTTGAAAAAATAAAAATATGTAAATACACATACAATAGTCATTCATATGTGCTATATAATCATATTAGAAAGTAAAAGAATGATAATCCAATGGTTATACCGATCATCGCCGGTCTCGGGGAAGATCGATATGAATCCGATGGAACGGTCATCGATGCAGATGGAACGTCGCCATGGATGAGGCAAACATACGTCTCGAATGAAGGCCAAAGCTTCTTCTTCTGATGTTAAAACCGGCCAACGGAGATTTCCAGTCACTCGATCATCGCCGGCCCATATCAAGAAATCGTGAGCGTCCATTAGCTCGAACGGCCGGAGAGTGACTCTTGAGAGATCAATCTCCATGTTTTTTGTTTGTTTTTGTTTTGGTTGGTGAAACTTTTAACTTTGAAGGACTATTATATACTTTGGTGATTATCATTTCTTATGTCACATTTTACACGTAAGAAAGAAGAAAGAGAGGATTATATTCTTCTTTTTAATCATATACCATTAATTAATAATATAAGAAACATTATTGTAATTTGTATGGAGAAATTAGTAATCCTATTGGCAAAGACATTTATTAGGAACCAAAGGAGGAGTGTACAAATCACATATTCCACGTGGAGAATATCCATTGTACATAGCCATGCACTCACTTTTCTCTGCATTTGTCTTCTCCTTCACAATCCCACTCATCAAGACACTTCTTTGCTTCTCCTACCATTTTCTTGTTTGCTATTATAATCAAAACAAAATATAATCAACTATATCAACCAAGAATACAACAAACTGAACAAAGATTTTTTCATTTCATTTTTGCAGATCATATTATCAAACAAATAAACAACAATTTTACCTGAAGAAGAAATGAGGAAACAACAATTAGTACGAAGAGAATGGAAAAGAAAGAGATCTTCATTTTTTATGGGTTTGGAAATGTTGAAAGTATTATCTAGTATTTTCTTGATTTCTAGTTTGCAATTTTCAGATTACATTCTCTTATAGTTATAGTCACATATATAATTATGGTCTACATATTCTTCTATTAATGTTTTATTGAATATTTTCTTATATTTTTAATACCAAACTAGAATCAGTTCTTGAATCATTTTGTTTTGAAACATTTTAAAACACACATAGAAATTTAACTACAAATATGATAGATTTTTTTTATATTTGTACTAGAACTCTGTTTCTTATTCTGAAAAACTTAAATTGCCAAAAAAATAAATTATTAATCTGATCTTTAAAACGCTGCGTTTTGGATCGGGAGGTTTCGGATTCCGATACGGTGAAGAACAACGGGTGGGTTATTCCCA